CGAAAACTGCTGCGGAAAAGAGGTTTTCAAACCCACCAAACACAGCCAGCCCTGTCCGGCGTGGGGGCAGGGAGCAAGTCAGCAAATAGCAGATGCCTTGCTTAGCTAGAAAGAGAGAGGAAAGACTGTAAGAGCTGGCCAGTTTAAACTCTCAGCAATTGCTTCACAGCCCCGAAAAAATGGCACCATTTTTAGCAACCCTGTAGAGACAGGAAGCTGCAAATGAGGCCACAATGCAGCAAATAACATTTGCACAGTGCTGGGCTCCACTCTAGCCGCTGTGGCAATGAAGATGAAAAAAGAAATAAGGACAAAAGCTTTACATTAGAATTAAATACAAACCCCAGCAAAGTTTCTAAATCGATAGTAACTACATTCATTCCAGAAAAAAATGTATCAAATATCTTCAGGCAATCTCCCAAACTTCATCTCAGCTTACAAGAAGTGCCCTGAAAAAAGAAGGAAAGCATGGAGAACCCCTCCTGCCAGGGGCTGTCTGCCAGTCCTGCTGGGCAGCACAGCAAACACTGCCCAGCAACGCACCACGCCTTCAGGGCTCTGAATACCTGGCAAACCATATCTAAGGGGACAAACAAACTTGTTTTTCTGCCTAAGTATGGAAGGCTCTGGAGGAAAAAGCCATTACATAATTTTACCATTCTAGTGTTTTCTCTGTCAGATATGGAAGATGTAGGTAAAATACAGAAAAACGAGCAGCAGCTAATTTCCTTCTACAACCAAGACAAGTAACTGAAAAACAAGTCACTCGCCACTCGTGACATGAGTATTAAATATATTCCTGTTTGCCTTTCCTATTTACTTTTCCAGATTCAGTAGGAACTGAGACTTTTGTTTTCTTTAATTGCTATGTCACATCTGTTAAGCAAAACAATACAGTACTGTGAATCTTTGCAAAAAATCTTGCAAGGAGGCAATGCTGGTGGTTAGCACCTTGAGCCAATTTGCTCTGGAGACTCAAAATGACTCATAACACCATTAACCGGATGACAGGAAATATTTCTCCCCATTTATACAGTGCAGACAACCAGGTTGTGCCTTGCAATTTCAATTACACTTCATAGAAAACCTGAGTGAACGGATTCTCCATCAGCAGGTGACTTCATTTGAAAAACAAAACTAATTTTGAGCCTTTTCTGTGAACTTTATAATAATCTCAAAGAAAGTTATATTTGTTAACTGTTTCTCAATGCTGCACAGTAAACATATGTTCATGGAAGACATTTACAGGTAAGAATACTGAGGTCATCCCTTCCCTCCATCCCTTCAATTTCTGGAAGTAAACACACACACACACACAAATCCAGATAAACTGCAGAAGTACTACAGTGAAACCAAACGTACTTTGGTTGTATGGAGAGGTGACAGATGGCTGCGAGACGTTCTCTGATTGTGTTTGGAATTGGTTTTATGAATTTGATAGCAGATTAAGAATTATGTGCTCACAATCCCTACAAGCTCTAGATACACTTGTCCTTTGAAGAGGAGATAAGCCACAGGCAGACAGTCCCCCACCACAGACTTTATACTGGAGACATGACCCAAATTTTCAGGATTTCAAAATGGGATAAAGAGATAATCTGTGAAAACAGCAGAGAAACAAAAAGTGCAAAAATAATTTAATGTGTAAAAGGTATTGTTTAAATCATAATAAGCTGATAGTCTGCAAAAAGAGTTCACTGATGATGGACCTTGGTGGCATTCAGTGGAAATGACTTAAGAAACAACAATCTTTGTTATATTGGAAAGCATTTCTCTCACCCTACTCCCCATTCTCCCATTTCCTGGCACAAAACAAAGGACTTAAAGCTAGATGCGTCACTCGTAGTATGGTAGTGCCATCCCTGAGAAATGCAAAAGATCGTCAGCTGAACATATTGGGGGAATTGTGAAGAATTTCACTTGGGTTGGAGTGAATGCTCAGGTCGGACACCCTCCTCTGCCTTCCTTTTTGGATCAACAAAAGCTGGGACTGAAATCTGAAATTCAGGTGATCGCTTTCAATCTCATAACGCTACCAAGGAGCTTCCACCCACTAGAACATGGCAGCGGGTGGTGTTCTCCTTACTCATGGCAGGTCCAGGGACAGACCTGCTCACAGCCTGCTGTCCATCAGAGATTTTGTCATCAAAAGATTTGTTTCTACATTATCTCTGAAACAGAACTGCTTTTCTTAGACAACAGGAATATCAGAGAATAGAAACTAGGCCATTTCTGATGGATAGAGTGAGTGGCTATTCTTCTATTTATTGTGGTAACACAAATGGGGTACATGTGTGTGCTGAAAATAAGTTTTAAAAATTAAATTCCCTTTTTGCATTTCACTCTTAAATATCAGGCCTCTTGTAGCAGGGATATTTTTCTTTCACTTTATAGGCATCGTAAAAGGTCCCTTTGAATGTTTTATTTGCAATAAGAAAAAATAAATGGTCCTCTCAACTAAAAATAATTCATTGTAATTCTTACTTTCCAGAAAGACTTTTAAAATTCCTGAAAAACAATTCCAAAATGAAGTGAATGGGAGGCAGCGATGCTAAAAGGATCTTGGCTCTATGGCTCCTGATTGCTGACCTTCAGAACACGCAGCGCAGGTTTGGTTGGCAGCATTGCCCTCTCCTGGCCGCTCTCAGCATAACCGTCGTGCTGAATGCTGGGCAAGATGCAGGACAAAGCACCTTGGAAGAGACCAAGCTGAGCGGTGCAGCTGATACAACAGAAAGAAGGGATGCCATCAAGAGGGACTTCGAAGGACTTTAAAGGTGGGCCCATGTAGACCTAACAATGTTCATCAAGGCCAAGTACAAAGTGCTGCACCTGAGTTGGAGCAATCCCAGATATGCATACAGACTGGAAGGAAAACTCCTTCAAAGTAGCCCTGTGCAGAAAGACCCGAGGGACCTGGCAGATGAAAAACTTAACATGAGTGAGCAACCGTCTGTTTGCAGCCCGGAAGGCCAATAGTATCCTGGGCTGCCTTAAAAGAGGAATGGCCAGCAGGGCAAAGTGGTGGTTGTTTCACTCTGCCTTGTACGGCCCCTTTGGAGTACTGCCCTTAGCACAGAAATGATGTTGAGGAAAGGGCACAGGGCACGAGGGTGCTCAGAGGGTTGGAGCACCTCCCCTACAAAGACAGGCTGAGGGAGCATGGCTTATTCAGTCTGGAAAAGAGAAGGCTGTGAGGAGGCCTCACTGTGACCTTCCTGTATGTAAAGAGAGATTATAAACAGGAGGGAAAATGACTTTTTACATGGGTAGGCAGTGATAGGACAAGAGGGAATGGTTTTAAACGAAAGGAGGGAGATTTAGATTAGATGTCAGTGGAAGATTTTCAGTGAGGCAGTGAGGCGCTGGCACAGGCTGCCCAGGGAGCTGTGGGTGTACCATGGCGACATTCAAAGCCAGGCTGGATGAGGCCCTGGGCAGCCTGAGGCGGTCCTTGATGTCAGCAACCCCGCCCATGGTGGGGGAGTTGGGACTAGATGATCTTCGAGGACCTTTCCAACCCAAGCCATCCTGCGATTCAGTGATTCTATGATTCAGAAGCACAGCTCACAGGGTGCCCCTCCCAACCTCCCCACAAAGCTCACGCAGAGCGGTCTCACTCACAGACGCCGCAGCAGGCTGCGGTGGGGGATGGAGCCCCGCACCCAGCCGCGTTCCCATGCCAGGTGCCGCAGCTCCGCTCAGCGCAGCAGGGGCGCGCCAGCAGCACGGCCCGCCTTCTGTCCGCAGTCCTGAGGGGGAGAAGCAAAGGCATCAAACACGAAGGGCGGGAACGGACTCGGCAGTGCGGTGCCTGGATGCACCCCTCTGTACCGTCCTACAGCAGGCAGCAATTCCCCTCTGCGGTGGGTATATCCAGGGCAGAAAGTTGTTGCCTTCTGTAGAAAAAAATACATTTGAGTTTTAACGTCCGTGGACTTGGGGGAAGTTACACATCTTTTGTTTTCTTCCACACGTAAAGCGAGGATGGTGGACAGGATTCCTTCAGAACATGTACACAGGATTCCCGATGACGTCGGCTTGTAGCACCCGTGGGACCCAACTATCTCCCCCACTCCTGGAGGAGGAATCCGAATCAGCACTGCCAACGCAGCAATGGGAATTGCTAATTTAAAACGGAACGGCGGACAGGTGCCAGGCGCTGACAGGCAGGGCAGCCGGAGCGCGGGGAAAGAGGGGAACCCCAGAGGGCAGGATGGGGCCCGGGAGCTGCGGAGCCCCGGGGAGGGGGTTCTCAGAGAGAACGGGGCTCCGGGTCGGATCCCAGCCCGCTCCCTGCCGCCCTACCTGCGCCCGGCCCGCGCGCGTCGCCGCTGCCATGGGGACGGGTGGGGGCGGGGCGGAGCGGAGCGGCCGCCGGGGGGCGGGAAGCGGGCGGGGGCGGGAAGGCGTGAGGCGCGTCCTCCCGTCAGGACGGGAGGGGAAAGGAAGTGCGAGTCGATCAGCTCGATTCAAAAATCTTATCTTTAATGTCCAAGGAGCGTTCGATATATCAACACTCTTGGGAAACGTAGGAGACAGGCTGCTGGAGCCTGTTAATCAGTGCAAAAACAAGGCTTTTAGGAAAAAACTTCAGAACGTGACTTCGGCTTCTGATCAGTTTGGGGCCTGGCAATCGAGCCGAATCACTACCGCCGTTCAGGGTGCTGGGCCACCTCCAGGCCACGGCGCACCTCAGCAGGCTGCCCTCCGAGGGGCGCCCAGTGGGCACGGCGGATGGGCTGTGCTCAGACACGGGGATCTTTGGCAACCTAAATGGCTCTGTGTCTTACTCTGCAGGCGTTCCAGTAGCCAGCTGGGCTCAGCTCAGTAGCGCGGGCAAAAAGAGAATATCCTGTTCAGGTAGAGAAAGAGACTGTTCCCATTCATTATTTAAAAAAGTCTGGCCTTATAATAGCCCTGATGTTGTCTGCTGGACAGCGCGAGCAAGAAGACCTGCTCAGGTAGAAAGGTTGTAGGACTGGTCCTCACAGCACTTCTGCCTTAGCACACAGTACCCACATCAGCTTTATTGTTACAAGGAGGAGCTCCCTCATGGTTTTTCTTTTACATTTAAATGAGCCATAATATGCAAAACATTGCACATTTATAAAAGGTACCAGATGTCCATTTTTCAACACTGGCAATAAACAGGTTGCTCCAGGACCTGTGTTTGGCCATGCAGACTATTACCTAGGAACAGACTGTGCCAACTACTGACTCAGGGCCTGAGGACACTGCTTGGGAGCCCTCTCAGCTCCCAACACCACAACTGTCAGATGCAGCCCCGTGGTAGAAGATTGTGGACAGTTGCTGTCCTGCATTGCTAACACTATTTTAAACCCATAAGCAAATTCTCCAAAGTGTCTTCAGGAGCTTTAGCAGAAGACACCACGTGGCATGTACTCTATGTTGCAGGGTTTTATAACTAAGGCTGACAACACAAAATAAAAAATGAATGGAGAAAAAGTGCAAAGCCCTCTTTAAAATTGTCCAGGATTCATTCACAGCGTCTCAGGCATGCAAACAGCTACTGCAGCCCAAGGACTGGGTAACTACCCTGAATATAGGCAGTGGCTTTAAATGGCTGCCTTTCAGATAAGCTGCTGGTTTTCCTTCTTTCATTTTCAGAGAAAAGAGCTCACTAACCAATTAACCAATTAAGCATTGACCAATTAACATTCTTAGTTAATTGGTACCACCTTTCAATGGAAGGAACTGTTCTGTACCCCTTGGTTAATTCTGCATTTCCGACCTTGGCCTCAGTGTGCTGTGCATGGTGGGAAGATGCTGCTTTCTGAGAAAAGGAGATGCACAATGTGCATGACTGCAGTGTGCAGCGGCTGGTACCAGAGGAAGACCTTACAGCAGTTACAGCTAGAACTTCCATGCAATTTCCTCCCGCTATCAACCACATTCTGTTCTTAATATCAGCATAAAATCCCATGGCAACATCTCCCTTGCCCCAGAACAGAATCTTGTATGCTGCATTCCCACACAGAGCTGTGCAGAGCCAAGGGGAACAGGTTGGTTTTTGACCAGCAGAACCAGAGGCGACTACTCCTCATGTGAGAGTAAATGTGTGTGTTCTCGTGCAGGTGGAAGACGCAGCTGCTCTGCTCTGCAGGCAGGCTCAATGCGTTCATGAGGTTAGCCTGAGCCTGCAGCATCTTTACGCCTGTGGAATCCATTAGCTGCTGAAGGAGGCAGGGGCTACCAAGCTTTTTAAACCAAGGTCCCATTCTTGCTGTCGTATTTCAGTCTGGGCCGGGGGAAGTTGAGGGTGGCATACTCTGTGGCATTCTGCATTTGCAAGTTCTTCACCTCTTCCGCAGAGCGCTCCCGCACCTTGGTGAACACCTGGATGTCTGCATAATGAATGCTGTCGTCCTGCTTTGTGTTCTTGGGTTTATTCACAGTAGCATAGACTGGAAACTCCGTGACATTTTCATGTGCTGGAGGCTTTGGGAAAAAGAGATCAGAGTCAACTGGACCTGCATGCCCTACATGCTGCCCCTGCACTGCCCAGCCCACTGACACCTCAGGCTCAGAGACAGGCATCATCCTACTGCATCTTTTACAGATCAGTGAGAAAAACTAGGCCTGTATCACTGTGCATCAATGCACGTCGCTCCCACAGCCCTCCCAGCCTACACTGGATGAGATGTCACAGCTCTGAATGAACAGCCCATGTGCGCCTGACCCCTCTAGGCTAGGAAGCGATGGTTAACCCCGTTCTGCCAACATCCAGTCAGAAAACAACCCCATGAAGCTGTTTACCTTCCTGCCAGGCTGGTGCTGTTGGCTCTCATGTCTCACACTGGTTCCTGAAAAAGAGACACCGGCGGATCAGGTTAACACAACTGTTTATTGTTCCAGTTTTGAGTTCCAAAAAGCAGCATCTGGCACATGGGCTCTCTCCCCTGGACGCGAATCAAATTTCCACCCCATCTGACATCCTCAGCCCTCATGCTGCCTCTGAGGCCCGTCTCCCAGAAGAAAGCCTGGGCTTGTTTCTTTGGAAAAAATAAGGTTTCCTGGGATGACAACATGCTGTGGACCGTAATGTTCTTGGCAGAACCCAGAAGGATGTACATAGCACAGAGAGCCTCCTTGTCAGGCCTTTGGAGAAGTCAGATCCAGTTTTAACTTTGTTATTTCCTCTGCTGCCTGCAAACATATTTTGCCCAGCATGGTCCAAAGGCCACAGGACACAACTGGGCTATTAGTTCCTCCTGCTTTATTCTAGGCACTGATGTCAGATGAATGTTTGCAGCTCTTATGGGAGTTTGATTCAGTTCCTGCTGTGCTGCACAACAGGGTACTTACACATTTTTATGTGCACAACTCAGATATTTTAGATATACCAGTGAAGCCCATTCCCATCCTCTTGCCAAATTCCATGGCTTATATCCCCCCTGCTTTAAATTTCAATGAAATTTGCCTTTTGCCTCTGTCAGACCTCTCTTGAGAAAGGTCAAGTATGGAAGAGTTTGGGAGAGGGCCTCAGCTAAGGGATCCATCTGCAGCCAGCGCTGATGAACGCCAACTATCCAGGGGCTGATTTACTTCCACTGTTCTTGCACTCTAGAGCATCTTCACAAATCCTTACCTTGCTTTTCCTTCTTCCTTTTAAAAAGCGAAGGACAGTTCCTGGAATCAGAGAGAGATGTCAGCCTCGAGAAGCTTCACCATCTGCCTTCATCACACTCAGAAGCACACCCCAACATTCTGCATTTGTTCAGGGAAATCCAAGAGCCCCTCCTTCCCCTCCCCCCAATCCAACCACCCCTACTTGGGTGTCTGGGACTGCCAAGTTCCATTCAGAGCTTTGTGAGCATCTGTGCAGGCTCCAGCCCTGCTGAGGGAATGAGACACCTTCTGAATGTGAGTGAATTTTGCAGGGAAAAGGCCCAGGGGTCCCTCTTCAATGACTCCTCTACTACATGCTACAGACACCCCCAAGACTCCTTGCCTTTCAGCCCTGTCTGGCAGTCCTGTTACGCACAGGCATCAGTGTGAAGGAGAACATATTTCACTGCAACTATGTTTCCACAGCTGTATGATCAAAGTTACAAGATACTGAGCATGATCCCCCTTAGCATGAAACATTTGTCTTAGAGCAAGAAGCTCTGATAGCCCATGCTTCGGCTTCCTTGCCCACCGAGCTGCGGTGCACAGCCAACATGCTAATTTAATCTTTCAGACTGTGTTTTTCCTGATTGCAGTTTTCCACTTAAACACAACCAAACCAAACAAGTTGCACACTTTATATAAGCCAAGCCAAACACAAATCTTGTCCGTACCTGTGTGACCAGAGAGAGAAAAGCCAAACACAACCATGTCCCAGCCATGGTGCAAATAGGAGCCAAATTCATTCTGTATGCAACAGCAGAGCCAAACTTCCACAGTCTGGTGCAGGCCGGGCAGCATGGCCAGAGCAGAGACGTGTCACATTCCAGGCCAGATGCATGAGACAAATGTTGTCTTTGCAGCATGAAGCAAACGTTATCCTTGCAGAATGCTCATATGGCTGGAAGGGAGCAGGTGCCAGCTCTGGTGCAGCTGCTCCTTTGCACACACATGCACTTAACAGAGCCTGCAGCGCAACTGAATGTGAGCAGCCAGGGCTCTGAAGGGGGCTGGAGAGCTCCCAGAGATCAGCCAAGGTCCAAAGCATGTCGTGCATTTGCTTGACAGATCTGCCACAGGTAGGAGCAAAGAGGTGCCTGAGGCACAATTTTAGAGGCAGTTTTGGGAGCAACAGAGCACGGCTGAGTGTGTGGTAATGGCTTGCCATTCTAATGGCAAAAGGAGAAAAGGAATGACAAAGAACCAGGAGACCTTCAAAACAGCTGGTAATTATTAACCAGGAGCTGGGAAATCAAGGGTAGCTCTGGGGAATGCAAGGGCTATACAAAAGGATTCAGCTCTGCTTCTTATGGCGTTGTCCTGGTGTGGTTCCCACCTGTAGATCCCCCTCCACTGTTGCCATGAGCCCGCAGGGTTTCCAGGACCCTCCCTGCCTGGCTTTGTGCTGGAGCTTTTGCATCTTTGCAGTCAGGTTGTGGGCTGCAATTAAAACAGCACCATGTGAAGTAAGTTCAGCAGAGTCCAAAGTCTCTTTGCTGGGAGGCACGTTCCAGCCCCAGCTTTCCCAACCGCCTTGGCTTGTTTTGGTTGTCTTTCTTTGCAGAGTGAGCGTTTGCAGCCAGCGTGTAGTCTGTTCTGAGACTGTCTGCAGGCTAATCACAGCCAGGCAGGAGACAGCATCTCTCTGCCTCAGATCTGCAGTAATTACAATGGATGTGGCAAGGGAAACGAGCAAGGCAAACCTCTCCCCTCTTCTTCTCAAAACCTGGTCAGACGTGCTGTAACTGACAACCTGCTGGATGCATGCTGTATTCTGCCTGACAGCATGTGTCCCTGCTCCTGCACCGCTGCTTCTCCTTTCCCCATGTCATTACCAACCTAATTTCTGCTTCATGCTGAGCCCCAAATTCTGGCATCCTTTGCTGCCCATGCACAGTGAAGTGAGAATCCTGCCCAGGGCTGAACTTGCAGAGACACCCAGACCCCAGGGCATGCTTTCTTTCACTGACAGCTTCTGTTCTGAAGAAGTTTGCTGAAAAGGATTTTCTCATGATTTCAGGAACCTCCTCCCTTCCCTACAAAAGGCAGGTACCTACCTCCCCTTTTACAAGTCTCAGCTTTAGTTAGGAAGCCAACTCTTTGCTGATGCTGAGTAAATACCTAGAAATAAAAGCATTACTGGTGCCCAGAAGTACCTGAACTAAGAGAAGCAGCGCCTTTTTTCCCTCTGTCATGAAGGCAAAGCCATGAATCACGCAGACCTCTGCAGTGGGGCTTCAGTGCACCACAGTCTGCTCTTGGTCATGGTGGTCTGTGGGTGTCCTACAAGCCATGTTACCTATAGCACAGACTCATTTACCTTCCACTCTCCTTACTTATCTGTTCACCGCCTGTGCAGCGTAGGGAAGCCTGCAAGCCTGAGGCCCTTCCTCAGCCAGGTGCTTTCCTGTGCAAGACACAGTGAGAAGCTCCTGGGAGAGCTCTGCTTCAGTCCCTACATGGAGCACGAGTTAGCATGAGAGCTCCACAAGGGGTGCTGGGGCAAAAGGCTCTTGGGCTAGAGCTTAGTCCTCTACTGCCAGAGGGGAGCAGGGAGACGGTGGTGACACCACCAGCAGAAACACCCCAGCTTCTAACTCTCCATTTGGGAAAAACACCCAGAAGGACGCAGCAGTCCTGGTCCTGCAGCCTTGGGACAGCAGAAGTTGGCACTGACCCTGAAGTGGCAGTTGCAGCCAGGCTGCCACCACACTGCTCCCCAGGCAGAGCGGAGAGCTGCTTTCCTTGTCTGGGCAGCTGACCATCCAGCCTGGGTTTAGGCTTTCTTTAGGAGGCAGAAGTGTCTGCGCATGGCCCGGCATTGCTCAGACCTGGGGGTGCCACATGGTGTGTGCTGATGGTGCTTTCTGCGCTCCAAGGGGCCTGTGTAGGCTCTTGCTCACTGCAGCCTGAAGAGAGTGCCTTGGGCACCTTGTTTAACCCCTGCCATAGGGCAGAGGAAGTGGAAGACAAGGAGATTTCGAGAACCAGCTTCCCCCCTTCCAACTGCAATTCCTATTCCTGAACCCCAGACTCCGAGTGTACAAACCCTCTCTTCGGCTCCAGCCACTAGGTGATGCTGTGCCTCTTAATTATTAAAAAGCTCCGATGATTTTCTATTACTTGAGCAAATGCAGTGTTGGAGAGAAAGTCCCCTGCGCTTCACCTGATACCTACAGCTCTCCCCGCGCTCTCAGCACTCCGTGTTCCCACCCGGCACCACCCCGTGCGCCGCGCCGGCGAAGCGTGAGAGCGGGGGCTGAGCCGCCCCTCCTCTCGGGAGCCTGACAGCATCTGCACGGCGCGACCCGGGCAGAGGGGTTGGGGGGGGCCGCTGCCCTTCGGGGCAGTGCCACAGCCTGCAGGTTTTACCTCCGCTGGGGAACTTGTAAGGATTTCAACTCGATCCTCGCAGAACCCAGCTATAGCACCGACGAGGCGAGCCCCCCGCCCCGCCCCGCCTCGGCAGGTGCGAGGAGCAGCCCCGCTGCAGCCCTGCTGAGCGCTGCCCGAGTTTGGCTCCGGCCGCCGCCCCCCGCCCCGCCGTACTCACCACGGGCGCCTGCAGCTGCAGCGGTTGCCCATGTCGCTCCTTCCTCCATGAAGCCGGAGCGTTCTCTGCACGGGCACGGCTTCTATTTCCTGGTTCCCCGCTCGTCCCCTGGCTATTCCAAGGGAGTGTCTGCAGGATCAGATTTCTCGCCGCCGCGCCGGGCCCATGCGTGCCATCTACCGGGGGGCTGCCGCCGGCTGCCCGGGGCTAGGAGGGGCAGCTGCCGTCCCCCGGGGCCAGGCCTAGGGCTGGAATTCTGCCTTCAGCTGCCCCGCTCCTGGCATGCCGGCAGGGAAGGAGTGCAGGAGGGATTCAGGTGTTCCTGCGCAAGAGGAGCTCTAAAGCGGGAGCTCAGGAAGAACAGGAGCTGTCAGTTCTGTTCATGCGTATCAAGTGGGATGTCTGGAAAATGTGTGGCATCACCTGGGGAAGGGAGTGGACCACCTGCGAGGGAGGCAGTGGCCCAGCAGAAGTGGGAGTAGGTTTATAGAGCACATCTGGTTGTTGAGGTAATACTTAATGTCAAAGTATTGTTGATTTTGCCCTGGAACAGAAACTGTGCCCCACAGCCTCAATTTGGCAGTTCTGTGTGGATCTGAACACTCCAAGGGATGTGCTGACAGCTGGGGGAGCTCCCATTCTTCCTTCTGGTGGGCTGAGGGGAGGCAGCCCTGCTCCCAGTCGCCCAGCATCGCTTGTCTGCCTGAGCACAGAGCAAAGCCTGGGACTTCCCAGCAGCAGAAGGAGGAGGAGAATTCTACCATGCTTCAGCCGGGGGCACGGCTGCTCTCCTGGGGGAGCTGCACTGCAAGCTGCACAGGGTCTTGAGCTGAATCTGCTGCCCTGTGCAGCTGGGCTTCTGAAAGTCCTGCAGCCTGGGCCTGACTCATGCAGGCGGGTGGGCTTCAGCCCTGCCCCCAGCAGGACCAGTTCTTGGGGTGCTGCACAGGCCGGGTGGTCTCAGGAATCTGAGTACCGTTGGGAAACTGCAGACTCTGTGTCTCAGGGTTTGTCCACAGACGCTGTTGATTCAGTGAGCCACTGTTTTGATTTCTGGGATAACTACGTTGCTTTGTGGAGAGGAAAAACAAAGAGGCTGGGAGCCTTTTCCCATCAGCCCCAAACACAAACGCTGGAGCTGCTGCTTTGAGCTCCACTGGAGAAACAGAAAGGCATTGAAAACATTGGCACAGCCAGGGAGCCCTTGGCTGCCGCTCCGCATTCCCCTGCAGCCCGTCAGCACGACGGGAGCCGCCTGGTTCCAGCACCGAGCAGCGAGCGTCGGGCGCAGCCCCGGGTGGCACCAGGCAGTGCCAGTTCCTCCCTCCCCCCACCCCGGCAGCTGCCCTCGGCCTGTCTGGGTGACAGGCTGTGAGCCTGGCACAGCGCGAGCCTGCGAGTGCCCAGCGGTGAGGAATGAACTTGCTGGAGAGAGCGGATGGAGCTCTTAAGAGAGTGATGAGAACTGTGTAATGGTTGTATTGCTGTGCGTTTGCACTGCAGTGTGTCATAGACTGGGAGTGTGCTGCGATAGGTACGGGTGCAAGGCAAGTTGGCATCACCGCAGAGGGAACTCTGAACTGCTATAGGCACTTCTCTCTTAGGACCTGTGCCCTGCATAGACCCAGCCCAGGCCCTGTGACTGCTGCAGGGGCTTGGGTGGATGCTGTGAGTGGGACGGGGTGTGTGCTGCACAGTGGGGCAGTCCGCTCCTGAAGGACCAGTCAGTTCTCGCTCTTACAAGCAAGTGACTGGAAGTCATTAATGCGGGATTATCTCTGAAATTATTACTGATAGCCTAGACAAAACCTGTTGTAAAGGTGATTTTTATTTTGGCGTCATCTGAATTATTTACTGGCCCTCCTTCCTCACAGAGAGGAGTGCAGAAGACTGCAGCCACATTCTGACAGGAGGAAGCTTGTCCATGGCGACCTCGGAGCTTTTCTCTCTCCTTAGGAGGGCTGCACTGAGCTGTGCCAGGGTCCCCATATTTGGCCGGTGACACAGCATTCTGGATGCTTTAATTGGCACTGACAAGGATTGTGCCTGACGCCTGCTGAACCCTGGGGCTGGCTGCGCAGCAGCTGCCACTGACAGCAGCACACCCGATCCCCAGTCCCACGTCACAGGGCTGTGAAGACGTTTCTCATGTAGCTGGTAGCATCACCATGTCTGCTAAAGGGGCAAATCTCTCATTTATGGGACTTTTCTCCAGACGAGTTCAGAGTGAACTCTCCACTGCTCTGCTCCTTGCATTCCAAGCTGCTAAGGCATCATCCGTCCTTCCTGCTGCACAGTAATGTGGGCAGGAGCAGTGTGAGTCCAAGGCAAATGAGTGAAGCTTGGAGGCAGATTTATTCCTCTTTCCATTCAAGAGCTGTGGGTACTTAACAGCATTGCATCTGCACAAAGGCCAGCACCAGCAAGGTGCTGGGATTGCATGGGCAGGTGCACAGCCTCAGAGCATTGGGCGAGAGCAGCCCTTGCAGTGTGGGGTGAGAGAAGAGCATGGTGCTCACTGGGCACCCAGGAGAAAAACTTGCATTAGAGTCCCTTCCATGAACACTTTAGTCCCCCTCTTTTTTCATTTCCAAGCCCCTTCTTCTGATCATCAGCCTTAAGAAGCAGAAGTCTGGCATATGCACAGCTGTGTTCCAGCCCTTCTAAACACTGATGGTGAGAAACAGAGGCCTGGCACAGTGACTCCCTTTTCTGCCTCTCCCCCCTCCCTGCTCAAACCCAGCTTTGGGGCCTTTAGGACTCTTCTTTCCCTTTTCCTTCCTCAGACTGTTCTTCCTGCCCCACTGTCTGCTCCTGGATTATCTTCACTTCAATGATCCTGGCCTTCACCTCCTTTCCTGTTCGGGGTGCCACAATGTTCAGAATGCCATCGTGGGACAGGGTGGCTCTCATCAGCAAGGGGTCGACGTCCAGTGGGAGGATGTAGGTCCTGGTGAACTCCCGGGAGATGAAGCCGTGGCGGTCAGCCCTCTGGGGGTGCTGCCCCACCACCTCCAGCAGGTTGTCCACAGTGCGCACTGTCAGCTCGTCGGGCAGGAAGTGGCAGACGTCCAGGAACACCTCGTACTTGTGGTCATTGAGGCTGACCTCCGAGGTGCCTCGATCCAGCTGCTTGTTGATCCGAGGCCTGATGTAGTAGCCGTGGTACAGAGCAGGAGCTAAAATCTCACATGGGGACACACCTAGAAATGAGACCCAGTGGGAAGTGGGGGATTTCCCAGGGAAAGGGATGGAGAAGCAGGGAGGCTGGGTCCTGCAAACACCTTGATATTGCTGCTGCGTCAGTTCTGCAATGGGGACAGAGGCTCTGCCATTTCCTACCCTTGCATCTCCAGAGTGCACGCTCAGTACCAAAGGCTCCTCTGCCATAAGCTGAGGGCTGACATCCAGCTAGGGCATCTGCTGGGTGGACTGGGAGGGACTGGTGGGTGCATTGGGTGCTCAGCAACGCAAAGCCCGCGGCTGGGGCTGGGCATGGAAAATGCTGATGGTGAAGACACTGCCCTGAAGAACTAAAGGCCTTTTGTTTGCCATTGTCCAGAGGGCTTTCCTTGGATCTTTTTGCCTTTTCACGCTGCTGTGCCGATGCTGAATGGTTCTGCTGCTGCCCACATTCCTTCGTCTCTGCCAACCGTTGCCGGGCTTTGTGCTTAACACCCCAGCTCAGCTTTTCTCACTGTTCCCGGCTACAAAATCTTCCCTCCCCCCTCCCCCAGCAGTAGTTTTCTAAACTCCCTCCCCCCCCATCCTGCTGTGGGCAAGGTGGAACTGCTGCTGACACACCTCTCCCATGAGCAGGGTGCAACCTCCCCTGGCAATGGAGAAGAGCACTGGGATATGTCTTGCACAGTCACAGCCTCTGTGGGGTGTGGTGAGGTGGGGGGCATGAGGGGACAACGCTTTGCTCCCTGCTGCAGAGCATGTGCATGAACAGACCCTGGGGGCACAGGAAAGGGACAGGGGAACCAGCACTGGGCATGGAAGGAGGAGGTGGACCTAAAGAGAGCTCCTGGCTGTGCCTAGGCTATCCTCCTGGTTTTGCCTGGGTTCCCACGCTTGGGCTTCCTTGGCTCCTGAAGCTCCTCTCCAGAGGGACTGTGCCAGCCTCCTGCACCCAAAGACAGAGAGCTGCCGGGGGTCCCATCTCCCTGCTTACCTTCTCCAAAGTTCTGGTCGTAGATCTTGCTGGGGTTGGCGAACTCGTACTCTGAGCTCATGGGGTAGGCGTGGGGCACCGTCCGCGCGGCCATGGAGAGCTGAGGAAGGGGCCTGTCCAAGCAGTCGCTGCCTCTGAGAGCGGAGGCTGCAGATTGCAAGGTTTTAGTTGGGTGAATTCCACAGGGAGGAGTGTGTGATAAAAAGACAGACCAAAATAGCCTTGCACCAGGCCCCGGGCCGCCTCGCCAGGGTGACGAGGGAAGCGCCTCATTGCATTCCTGTAGAGCTGCAGGCTCTGCCTGTCAGCGGGGTGCAATCCCGCACCTCCTGATTCCCTGCCTTGGGCAGGGGACAAGAGACAGGAACTGGGCCCCCAGCTGCCCCTGCCAAGCCAGCAGGGGACAGGACAATGCCTAATGGTGGCTGGTGCTTGGTGAGGTTGTGTGCAGTCATGCAAAGCCATTGTTGTGAGCTTAGCCCTCAAATCAGCCCCAGAGAAAGGGATTTGTTTTCCCCTGAAGCTGAGTCTCTTGTTCCTGGGAGTGGTAAGGTGCTGCAGACTGTTAAGTGGCACTAAGCAGACCCTGATGCTGACACTCCAGAACTGTGCCGCTGTGAGCCAGCTGTCTGGGCTGTGCCTTGGCCAGGGCTTCAGTGCTGTGCAGTGGGATCAGAAGAATGCCTGTGCTGGAGGTCACACATTAAGCAGGGTCTGAAGCTGGCCTAGATCCACTTTTATTGAACTGGGAGTTAGTACCCAGTTAAGCTCCTCATACTCTGAAACCAGAGATATCCATGTCTGCGGTGCGAGAGAGCAGGTGCACTACTGCTGACGTAATATGGAACTGGACAAAGTACGGCTGGGGCTTCTGCAGAGGGTGAATTCTACTCCCTAATCTTGCAGGCAAGTGAACAGGAAGAGGGTCAGGCCCTTTTGCAGGGGACTGATGGTGCTAGCAGTGAGAATGATGTGCCCCTAAGCCAGAAGGCTGTATGTAAGTTGCAGATACTCAGAGCTCTTGTACTTTAAAGACAGCTGCTGGGCTGAACCCAGTCTCATGATCTGAACTGATTGCTGCAGGGCAAACAGAACAAGGGAGTTTGCAAACCAGAGAAGGCAAGCAGCAGTGCAGCTCTGCAGGGCTGCTGTTTGCCTGCTTTATCTCTGCTTGCAGAGTGCTGGGCTCTTCTGCTCTCTGCTGCAAAGTGGTTTCTCTAGTGGGCAAAGAGGAAGAGGTATCAGCTGATGCCCTGTGGAAACCATCCTTAGTGCGCACACACCAGCAGGTGCTTATGTAGGGTACTCACTAGTCTGTAGAGCTGCACACCAGAGTACATCACAACACACCTTTTGGGGTCCATGTTGCCCTCCAGCTATGGCGTGCGGCTTCCTTCGCTTTAAGGGAAGGCAGAGCCTTTCCTAGGCGCGTGGGTGCAGTGGGGAGCTGCAGCCATGGTACCGTCACAGGGAACAACAGCCCCTTGTCCTTTTCCATGTGAGCCAAAGATAGGAGCTGCATTGATCCTGCTGGCATCCGAAGCAGCTGGGAACATCCGCCAAGCCTGCTTGGGACTCAGCAGATAAACAGCACGTGGGGCGCGGGGCGGGCAGTCGGGCAGCTTGGCTTCTTGCTGTCCCATTAGTCTCCTTGTCTTCTTCTCCCCTACTCCCTCCTCCTTAGCAATCTGTTCAAACCCCCAGACACTCCTGGGCACTACTGAAGGGACCAGTCCCTGATTGGGACAATAAAATCCCTGACACCACTATTCGGGAGGCCTCGGGGGGAGAGGCCCCGCCAGCCACGTGGGTATAAAGCTGCCCCCTGTGCTGGGCACAGCACTGCAGCAGTCGTTTGCTTGGCTCCTCCGTCGCGCTCCGATGGATATCACCATTCACAACCCCCTGATCCGCAGACCTCTGTTTTCTTGGTTGACACCGAGCCGTATCTTTGACCAGATATTTGGAGAGCACCTGCAGGAGTCAGAGCTGCTCCCTACTTCCCCCAGCCTCAGCCCCTTCCTGATGAGATCCCCCTTCTTTCGGATGCCCAGTTGGCTGGAGACGGGACTCTCAGAGGTAATCTGCCCTGCTTTCTGCTCTTTGTTACCGCTGGGTGCACATCCTGATGGGTCTGGAGCTAGGAACCCAGGAGAGCTGGGACGCTGCTTGTAGATTGTTAATAGGAAAAGCCTGGGGAAAAGGGTGCTGAGTTTTTGCCTCTGCTCCTCTGTGTTAGGTAAGTTCCTCTGCATGCTTTGCTAATCACTTGTAACTGAGAGCAAGTATTGCCACAGCCATGGGCACAGAGACAAACCGAGCTGTGTGTGTGCTGTGAATGACTGCAGGGACTGACAGGAGAAAGGAGGAAGCCTGATTTCTCTGTCTGCCCTGAAAAATTTTCCGTTCTGCTTCCTCCTGAGAAGTAGAAGAGCAGTGGGACCCCCATGCCAGGCAGCGTGGGAGCCCTCCGCTGCTGAATAGAGAGGCCAAAGCTAAAGCATCTCTGGCAGACAGCAGTGTTTTCAGAGAGATATGGGACGGGAGGGCCTTTAAATGGCCATCTGCTTGCTTCAGGGGCTGAGGCACGCAGCTCAAATGACCTTGTTCAGTGTGCAGGTTAGCTGTCTATTTGCAAATAACTTATAGAGCTACTCAAAGCCAATGGAGTGAGAGGGAAGTATTTTCTTACTCTTTGCTTAATGTTTCCCTTGGTTTAGTCACCTGGGTCTGGTCATCTGCTGAAGCAGCCATAATAAGCACCACAGGTAATAACATCAACATCTGACTTTCTCATTGGAGAAATCTTCACAAATAATCTAGCAGAAGGAGCAGGAAGCCTTCCAGGTAAAACTGAGGAAACCAGTAAGCTAGAACTGGCATGGAAGCTGCCTCCATGTCCCAGAACAGAGCTGCAGGAGCCTCATGTGTTTCCTGACCATGACCGCAGCAGGAAGGCAGAGAGAACCAGCTTGCACTGCTGAGTCCCACTGACTTATCCAAGACAGGCAGAAAATGCAAATTCAACCTCAGGAGCCAGCAAAAAGCAGCATTTGCTGGAGATGACAAAGTGCAAAATGGAAGGTAAGGAGGCAAGATGAGCAGCAGGTGACTCAGAGTTTCAGCAGTAGCCCTGCTGCTCAGATAAAAGAGGTGAGGCAGTAGTGCTGCTTAGCTGACACACGCTATTTTTGTTTATAAGGAGTGATGATGCAGAGAAAAGCCTGCGAGTGACACACATGAGCTGTAGTCAGCTGCACACTCAGTTTCTTTTTCCAGAAAGACTTAGCAAAATTCAGTTGCAGAGACTGGAAATCTCCAGACACCTCAGAAAAAGTTTGGGGAGTCAGTTTTAACAAATTCAAATTGAGAAAATCTCTTCCTTATTCCCCAGAAAATGTTTATTATATGTTTATCCTGAGAGAAAGCATCATGCTTTATGTGCTGTAGTGGTGGGCATGAATGGAAGAGGCTAACAAGAGACAATCTGAGCCAGATGAGAATCCCGGGACTGAATGCAGGTCAGGCAGGGCATGTGGAGAGAGCCCAGAGTGAGCGTGACCTGCTGCATGCTGAGAGTCTGATGAAGCTGAAACCTTTGCCTGAAGTTGTCTCCTTGTTTTACAGATGCGACTGGAGAAGGACAAATTTTCTGTAAATCTTGATGTGAAGCATTTCTCCCCTGAGGAGCTGAAAGTGAAGGTGCTTGGGGACATGATAGAAATTCATGGGAAACACGAGGAGCGGCAGGTACTTCTTTAATTGCTTCACTAGTTAGCCAGTGTGTGCTTCCTCATCTATGGTTAAACAAGGAGGCTGCAGAATAATCCTCTTCTTTGCCCTTCTGAAACACTTGCAGTGTTTTTGATCAACCAATCCTAATGGACGATCTCTGTGCAAACCAATCCGATTCCAGACTGGGCAGCAGCAGAGTGGAGATTTAGTGCTGGTGTTGCATGACCTGAGAACTGAACTGGAAAATCAACTTTGAAGTGAGCATTTCTGGGCCTCCCTCTTTCTGGGAAGAAGACAGGAATGCAGAGAGGCATTCAATAAGTTAACAGTGAGCTGTAATAATTAAACCACATAATGAATCCATGCATTGCCCTGTTCCATTAGCAAGAGGCTATCTGTTCCTGAAAAAATACCAACTTACAGTCCTTAAGGGTTGTGCTCTGCTGTCAGCCGTCCCACTGCTTGCTGGCTCAGTGGCAAATGGTCAAAGAGAGGCCAAAAGCCATGTGTAAGGCTGTACATAACAGGGATTGCCCATCCCCCTCTACTTGCAAGAAGGAAACAAATCCTAGAGATAAAGTAGCTGTATCAGTGTATCCATCAGCTCCAAAAGCTTCTGGGAGCCCAGATCTGTCAGTCAAAAAATTCAGCACTACTCATAGATGCTGGAAGCTCATAATTCTGAAATAGCTTCTGCAAGGTTTTTTTGGCTAGAGTTGAGAAGAACTCACCTGGAAGCTGTGTATTCTGAGGGCCTGGAGACCCTCAGGAGGAGGGGCTGCTGGCTCTGGAGGTAGCTGTAGGTCCTACATTTTAGCCATGGCAGCACAGCACTGTGAAACAAAGCTGGCAGGCACAAAAGCTGGAGGAGAAAGCCTCATCCTGCAAAGGGTGCCTGCACCACCTGCAGGGGCAGGCCATTCTCTCGCTTCAGCTGTTCTCAGATCTTTACAAGGGAGATCTCATAATAAAAACTCTTTTAACTTTCTGAAAAGTTTTCCTTTGGGAGCCGAAGCTTCCTGAACTCAGACTTTACGCTAAAGACCCATGGTTTAGGTGGAATTGAGGGAACACTTCTAATCAGCGCTGTTCCTTCTCTTCTCCTTTTGAAGGATGAGCATGGCTTTATTGCCAGGGAGTTCAGCAGGAAATACAGGATCCCAGCTGACGTGGATCCCCTGACCATCACCTCATCGCTCTCTCTGGATGGTGTCCTGACAGTGAGTGCACCGAGAAAACAAAGCGACGTCCCTGAGCGAAGTATTCCTATCACCCGTGAGGAGAAGCCTGCCATTGCAGGATCCCAGAGGAAGTAGGCTGCTATGTGATGTCACGCCAGGGCCATTCAAGAGCACTTCTCATCGGATGCCAGCTCTGCTCATGGCCACTCTTATTTATTTATGCTGAGTAAGTTCACTAACAAATAAAACGTGAATAAGCAGTCTGT